CGGTATTGCACCATAATCCAGGACCCAGGCTCTTTCAGGGATGCCTTTATGACACACAATCTAAGGTTTTTACCACCAACTGAAAAGCATGCAGTACGCCAGTGTGCGTGCATTGTATGCTGGTCAATAACCAAGAGGGAACAGAAACGCAAAATGGTGATGACTTGGTGCATAACGTGTCAGGTCCCTCTGTGCCATGTCAAATGTTTTAACGAGTATCACAGTCTTGATGACTTCTAAATGTCCAAGACTGGTGCAAAAACATGTAAATACAGAATAAGTGGGTGTATATAGTGAAAATAAATCATAAGAAATTGTATATTTTATTGAGAGATAAGACATTTTTGTGCAAATACTTGTGACATTAATATGTGGATACAATATACATTGACAACAGTTTTATGATAATAAATCTTCATGTGAGAACATATTGAACTACACCAGTGATAAAAATGGGTGTAAAATACGCCATAGATACTGTGAATAATAACGCGAAAATAAATTCGCGTCAACTCTGGCTCCTCCTCTGTCCCGCCTGACTCACCCCGGGCGCACAGCGCTCCAGCGAAGATTCTCTCTGTCTTGGAAGAGCTTGGCTTAGTTCTATGAATAGCCGTGTAGCCATGTGCTGTCTGATAAACCATGTTTCTCAAACATGATATACTATACTTAGGGTGAAATTTTCCACAAACAGCATAAACTATTACAAAAGGCCTTTAAATTCAGCCACCCAGGAAATCAGATAAACTTAAAACAACTACGAAAGAAATTTTGTTCACTCATAAAGATCTAAAGTCTTCCAATGCCTAAACAGGAAATTAAGCCAAAACAAAGGACCAACCAAGATATAATTGACGCAAAAAGGCACCCAAGAGGGATTTGTCAACATCCCAATACCCACACAAATGTTTGAAGCAGGTGAAGAGAACGTAAAAGGGATATTATCATAACATATGATATATCAGGAGGATAATTGACCAGCTACACTATAAACCCCATGAATCTTACCTTTCCTTAACATGAAGATTCAAAGGGTTTACTAGATTTTTTAAGTTTAGTGTGTACAGAAAATCCACTAATGTCTGTTCGTATGTGCATAACTTTTCAAACCATCACATAAATGTAAAACAGTTGGTGTTTTCTTCGATGTTTTTCAGACCCCTACGAGTTTGCCGCCCTGAATTTATGGATGAAGAAAGTGCTAAATTATATGAAATAAGGGCAAAGCTACAATACCCTTAATCAGTCTTGAATTACTCTTTCGGATAGGCCAGACATTTTATAATCATAATCCCAAAACTAAACCCAGCTTAAAAAAACTAATTTGATCATACTCTGAATGACTTGCCAAACTTTTCCCAGCTATGAATATCTTTATGTTAATGTTATTAAATATTTGTAATATTTTGATGTTAATAAATATTGTTAATATGTTGATGTTATTAAATATTGGTAATATTTTGATGTTATTAAATATTGTTAATTTGATGTTAATAAATATTGTTAAAATGTTGATGTTAATAAATATTGATAATATTTGGATAGTAATAAATATTGGTAATATTTGGATGTTAATAAATATTGTTAATTTGATGTTAATAAATATTGTAGTTTGAAGCGCTTCTCTAGTTTTAATAAACATAATCTTGATATTCTCAGTTGGTACTCGTGTCCAGGGTCCTGCTCCCTGGCCCTTAATCCTTACTTAATCCGTGTCCGTGTGTACCAAGACACGGCGCACGGTGATCCTGTTTGATATTTACATACCCTCCGCCGACTTGCTTCTGTCCCCCAATATATTCCCGTCTCATCATACTGCCTGTCTTCTCTGTCTCGGTCAGGCTGTTGATAACGCCTTGGCAAGACCTTCCAGCTGTTTTTTCCGTTTTCACTTGTGGTTGGAGGAAGAACTCCTGGACCTCGGCCACAGAGCCTGGAGGTAATGATTGAAACCCTGATTGGGCTTCACTGGAAACCTTACCACTTCTACTGGATTGATTGAATCCATGGGTGCATTGTTTTTACCATGTTGTGGTGTAGTGGTCTTGGGCGTGTTCTTGGGAGAACCAAGTGTGTAGGTTCGAATCCTCCTCATGCTTCTACTGATTTGTTTTTTAAGTATAGATTATCAATTACATACGGTTACAAAACACACATGTTGCAAAAAAACACAGTGTATTATACTCTGTACCTTTATAAGGAAGAAATAAGTTAAAGACATGACGACACACAAAATAAAATAAAAAAAACATATTAAGGGAGACTAAAGAAATAATAAGGTTTGTTCAAAGCATAAGTAAAAGAAAAACTAAATTATTAATAAAATTTGTATACACACTACGACTAAAACATTATTATTCAATAGAAGCTGCAGCTCTCTGATATATAAACACTCCATTAAACACAAATCAAATGGGTCATTCTCACATGTATTCAAGGTTTTATAATCGAATTTTTACAAAGGATGGTTCGTCTCTCTGTCCCCCATTCTCCCTACTTCAATGTCATTCTTCCTTCTTCTCTCCTTCTCCCCCCCCCCCTCTCTCCCATTCTCCCTACTTCCCTGCCATTCTCTCTTCCTTTCTCCTTCTCCACTCCTCTCTCCTATTATCTCTCTCTTTATACCCCGTCTTCTCTCTTTCAACAGGCAAAACGTAATTGAGGAACAGTGAATCCACATTATCGATATTGATTCAGTGTTGATAAGCTTTGTAAAATCAGTTGGTATACATTCTATGGACAATCAATCGCACATTTCAGACTATATATGAGTGGTTAGTTGTGACAATAAGAGCTAATCGTACAGGAAGAGTGGCTTGGAGGTCGACCCCAACCACTCTGACGTACTTGCCATATAATCACATTATAGCATGGGAAGTAGCATATAAGGCTAACCACATCTGTCTGGCGTCCAGCCTCGAACAGCTGTAAGAGACACAAACAAACCTACATTTTCTGTACCAAAATATTGAAATTAAAAAAATCGAATGAATGTGATCTGAGTTAAAATGTGAGAGAACTGAAACAAAGTAAATCCAAAGAATTATGTATATATTGCATTTAAAGACCAGACTTTGAAAGGTCTTCGTTTTATTTAACTAGTTTTGCTAGGCTCTTTTGAGTAAGGGAAAGTGGATAGGCTCCTTTGAGTAAGGGAAAGTGGATAGGCTCTTTTGAGTAAGGGAAAGTGGATAGTTTTTTTGAGTAGATGAAACGGGCAATTCGATAAGTTGTAACAATTTATACTAATCCATCAAACGTAATTCCACATTTGATTTTCAGATTAGTGTAAAGATACCCACGCTATACTGTTAACGCTTTACTCTCCTCGCTATACTGGAATACCATCTTCATACCATGAAAAGAGTGAAAAAATCATATAACCTTTTACACAGTAACACTAAATTGGTTCACAAATTGAATTTATAAATATGTGAGAAATGCACAACGTGAGAGTTGAGAATAGAACCAGAGCTGGTAAAGAAGAAGAGACTGAAGATAATGAGCATAACCTGGATAGCTCCTCCTTCTATTGTACAGTATTTCGTACAATAGACTCAGCCATTTATGCTGAGGCCATTGATTCAACGACAATGGCAGCATGTAAAACACCATTCACTGTTTCAATGGAGGTCTCCCGTCTCTTTGAAGGTGCAGTAATGAAAGCCGCAGATGGATCTCACTTGAATGTTTCTTCCGCCTTGTTGGGTGACGAGGCTGCCGACAACCAATAAACCCAGGGACGCGGAGGAGAAGGGAGAGAGAGCGAAGTGTCACTGTCGACACCGTCATTGTGGACACTGTCACCATCGCCACAGTCACTGGAGACACTGTCACCATCGCCAAAGTCACTGGAGACACTGTCACCATCGCCACAGTCAGTGGAGACACTGTCACCATCGCCAAAGTCAGTGGAGACACTGTCACCATCGCCACAGTCACTGGAGACACTGTCACCATCGCCATTCACTAGAGACACTGTCACCATCGCCACAATCACTGGAGACACTGTCACCATCGCCACAGTCATTGGAGACACTGTCACCATCGCCACAGTCACTGGAGACACTGTCACTATCGCCTCAGTCATCGGAGACACGGTCACCATCACCACAGTCACAGGACACATTGTCACCATCATCAAAGCCACTGGAGACACAGTCACCATCGCCATTGTCACTGGAGACACTATCACCATCTCCAAAGTTCGGAGACACTCTCACCATCGCCACATTTACTGGAGACACTGTCACCATCGCCACAGTCACTGGAGACACTCTCACCATCGCCACAGTCACTGGAGACACTGTCACCATCGCCACAATCACTGGAGACACTACCACTATCGTCACTGTCACTGGAGACTTTCACCATCGCCACAGTCTCTGGAGACACTGTCACCATCGACACAGTCACTGGAGACACTGTCACCATCGTAACAGTCATTGGAGACACTGTCACCATCGCCACAGTCACTGGAGACACTGTCACCATCGCTACAGTCACTGGAGACACTGTCACCATCGCCACAATCACTGGAGACACTACCACTATCGTCACTGTCACTTGAGACTTTCACCATCGCCACAGTCTCTGGAGACACTGTCACCATCGACACAGTCACTGAAGACACTGTCACCATCGTAACAGTCATTGGAGACACTGTCACCATCCCCACAGTCACTGGAGACACTATCACTATCGTCACAGTCACTGGAGACACTGTCACCATCGCCACAGTCATTGGAGACACTGTCACCATCGCCACAATCACTGGAGACACTATCACTATCGTCACTGTCACTGGAGACTTTCACCATCGCCACAGTCACTGGAGACACTGTCACCATCGCCACAGTCACTGGAGACACTGTCACCATCGCCACAGTCACTGGAGACACTGTCACCATCGTCACTGTCACCATTACCACAGTCACAGGATACACTGTCACCATCGCCACAGTCACTGGAGACACTGTCACCATCGCAACAGTCACTGGTTACACTGTCACCATCGCCACAGTCACTGGAGACACTGTCACCATCGCCACAGTCACTGGAGACACTGTCACCATCGCCACAGTCTCCGGAGACAATTTCACCATCGCCACAGTCACCGGAGACACTGTCACAGGAGACACTGTCACCATTACCACAGTCACTGGATACACTGTCACCATCGCAACAGTCTCCGGAGACATTATCACTATCGTCACAGTCACTAGAAACACTGTCACCATCGCCACAGTCCCACCGGAGACAAATTCACCATCGCCACAATCACTGGAGACACTACCACTATCGTCACTGTCACTGGAGACTTTCACCATCGCCACAGTCTCTGGAGACACTATCATTATCGTCACAGTCACTAGAAACACTGTCACCATCGCCACAGTCACTGGAGACACTGTCACCATCGCCACAGTCACTGGAAACACTGTCACCATCGTCACTGTCACCATTACCACAGTCACAGGATACACTGTCACCATCGCCACAGTCACTGGAGACACTGTCACCATCGCCACAGTCTCCGGAGACAATTTCACCATCGCCACAGTCACCGGAGACACTGTCACAGGAGACACTGTCACCATTACCACAGTCACTGGATACACTGTCACCATCGCCACAGTCACTGTTACCATTGCCACAGTCTCCGGAGACACTATCACTATCGTCACAGTCACTAGAAACACTGTCACCATTGCCACAGTCTCCGGAGACACTATCACTATCGTCACAGTCACTAGAAACACTGTCACCATTGCCACAGTCTCTGGAGACACTATTACTATCGTCACAGTCACTGGAGACACTGTCACCATCGCCACAGTCTCTGGAGACAATTTCACCATCGCCACAGTCACCGGAGACACTGTCACAGGAGAAACTGTCACCATCGGCACTGTCACCATTACCACAGTCACTGGATACACTGTCACCATCGCCACAGTCACTGGAGATACTGTCACCATTGCCACAGTCACTGGAGACACTGTCACCATCGCCACAGTCACCGGAGACACTGTCACCATCGCCACAGTCACTGGAGACACTGTACCATCGCCACAGTAACTGGAGACACTGTCACCATCGCCACAGTCACTGGAGACACTGTCTCCATCGCCACAGTCACTGGAGACACTGTCACCATCGCCACAGTCACTGGAGACACTGTCACCATCGCCACAGTCACTGGAGACATTGTCACCATCGCCACAGTCACTGGAGACACTGTCACCATCGCCACAGTCACTGGAGACACTGTCACCATCGCCACAGTCACTGGAGACACTGTCACCATCGCCACAGTCACTCTAGACACTGTCACCATCGCCACAGTCACTGGAAGTATGAACCCAGGTAACCTGAAGAATAAGTCTACCCTAATGAGAGTTATTCGGCGATCTGGACCTAATTGAGAGGTCAGAGGAAGTATAGATATATGGATATATGTTAAATACTAGACAAATGTCAGTGAACAGTTTAAAAGCATGAGCAGAGGATGAGAATGTAAATAAGTGACATGAGATATCGATATTTTGCTGACATGAGGCTCGCGGGACACCTGACTTGAGCAACAGAGGTCGTGAGAGGGGATAGTGCTGTGCTGAGCTCCTGGCAGAGGAGGAAAACCCCCTAGTTGTGTGCTCCTACTAGAGGAGGTAATCAAGCAGGCCTTTATGTGTGAAGCCTGAGGACGATATAATGTGCTCAAGTCAGGACTAGAAGAAGCCTTGTGAGGCAGTCCTATAGCGATTTCGTGGGCGACCTGTGTTGGCGCCATTGTGAAGACCAGGACCTGAGCGCCCTCGAGATGTAAGGTCTGTGGTAAGCTTATGTACCAGTTGTTGCAGTGGTCGCCAGTGTTTGATCGTGTGCCCAGCGATCATGTCAATCGATGACTGAGGAGGGGAAGCCCCCGGCTGGCAGCGGCAGCCACCAGCATGTCTCGACACGTCGAAGATAGACTCGCCCAGGGTAGGGAAGTACCGTCGTGGCGACGTGTTATGGTTTAAAGAGATGTCGAATGTAGGAGTTTTACTTTTTGAGAATACATTTAATTATGTTTTAGTACGAAAACATTTTTATTGGCATGGCAATGGAATTGCAGGTTTGTTTGGGGAGGAGTTGATGGTAGAACTTCAAGGCCAGGGAAGAAGTTAATGTAGGAAACTTGGAGGCTGGAGAAGTATATGCTGAAATCTGTGGAAGAGCAGAACTCCATAGTGAGGAGTTGACCTCAAGCAATGTAAAGGAACAGTGAAGAGGAGTTTCACGGGTCTCCGTGGAATCAGTGGTGAAGCATCATTGTTGTTTGAAGAGGACTTCATTGTGCAGCAGTTTTGGGAAAACTGCAGAAGAGCCTTTTGAATAGTTTGGAGTACCTAGAGATATATATAGTAGTGAGTCTCCAGAAGCAGAACAAAGGTTTATGGTTGATACACAGGAATGTATAAGGGGGAGTGTTTGAATGATTATTGGCGTGTAAGACGCAGTGTAAGGTGGCAGATTGATTTCTTCTTGTGTTGGGGAATATTTATGCAGAGGTTTCTGGTGTTTCAGTCACAGGCCGAGTTTCAGATACTTTCACGGCTGATTGTACAGTAGTGCTGTGACGATATTTCAACCCCCACTTAGTGAGGTAGTAGTAAGTGGTAATCCAAGAGTTGAGTAGCCACTTGATATGGACAATTGGTGAAGCCAGGTTATGATATTGGATTACTATCGGGTTGTAGCAGTTTAGAGTGTTATATGCCAATATTTCATTCTTTTTATGTCATGTTCGGGTATGTTTATTCATTTATTAAATGTATATTGTTAGCTGGCTTTTGCTCTTATCCTGGTGACGCTTCCCAGAAAGCAGGAGAGGGAGAGAAAGGATCACGGCTGCAGATAGGAAAACAGAAAATTCTAATTCACAAAAAGGTGGATTTAGGAGATCATTTCAAACAAGGAGAGAGTTCGGAGTCACGGCACCTCAAGTAGGGTGTGTGTGTACACAAGACAACGAGGCCAATGTTGGAGCCGCACCCCTAAGTATGCAATGCTGATCCCCTCTCCAAGATCAAGAGGCATGCAGGGTGATCTCCTGAGAAAACTTCAAGCACTCCACTGTGTCATTGCTGGTTGACTGACGGCAGTGGGAGTGTGGCTGCCGAGGTCGGTTGTCTGTTCCGGCTGATAGTGGTTGGGGGGACGTTGTCAACCTGTACGCAAGTAACAGTCTGGTGCAGCAACCAGAGCTCTCTTTGGAGGTTTAAGTTCCATAAACCCCATCCCACTCAGGCCAGAACAGATATTGGGGGCCTGTCCAGGAGACTGGATTGACACACAGTCATTTTGAGTTCAGGAGGTTGGATTAATACGCCCTTTATAGCAATAGGTAGTCCGTGCGAGTGCGATTGCAGGTATATTCTCTCTCTCTCGGGAAGACCCACAAGACAAGATGGAGAAGGTGCAAGCGCTCGTGGTGTCAGGCAGGCCTAAGGATTGGAAGGTTGCATCAAGGAGCTGTTGATGCAGATAGCAGAGAAATGTGGCATCAAGATGAAGTCATCTAAAGTGGCCGGAATGAAGGATAAGATCATTAGACAATTGAGAGCTAGGAATGAAGTGACTGAACAAGGAGCCCAGAAAAGAGCTGGAAATGGAAAGGAGGATGATGGACAAGACGAAGTGAGATCCCAAGGATCAAGTCGGAGTAGTAGGAGCAGCCACAGTAGCAGGAATAGCAGAAACAAGAGCTTGGTAAGATTTCAGCTAGAGTTCCAGATGCAACGAGAACGTGAGCGTGATGAGAGACAGTTCCTACTGGAGAAGTTGAGGTTAGAACTTCAGATGAAAAATTAACAGAGAAAGGGAAAACCAGAATAAGAGAACTGGAGTTGGAAGGCGATGAGTCACAATAACGTGGCTAAAGTATGTTGACCAGACCACACACTAGAAGGTGAAAGGACGACGACGTTTCGGTCAGACCTGGACCATTCTGAAGTCGATTGTCCGACTTGAGAATGGTTCAAGATGGACCGAAACGTCGTCGTCCCTTCACCTTCTAGTGTATGGTTTGGTCAACACTGGAGTTGGAACACGAGAAAGAAAAAGAGAAAACCAGACTGGAGGCAGAGAAAGAAAAAGAGAAAACCAGAATAAGAGAACTGGAGTTAGAACAGGAAAAAGAAGAAAGAAAACAAAACAAATGGTGATAGAAGCCAATAGAGCTTTGGCGGAACAAAGGATTGAACGTGGGTTGCCAGAGAGCACCGTCCATGTATCACACCCAAATGATATTAAAGTTAGAGAAAAGGAAATTCCCCTATTTGTGCCTGAGGAGGCAGAGAGCTTCTTCGAGCATTTCGAGAAGGTAGCCCACATCAAATTGTGGCCACAGGAAGAATGGGCCCAATTGGTTCAATTAAGGTTGACCGGTGCCATCAGAGAGGCATATACCCAGTAGCCATTGTGATTGTACTTAGACCAGAGGCATGGGAGCAATTCGGCTCCTGTTAATTTTACTTGGACGAAGTGTTATGGAAACCAAAGGTGTACCATCATGAACACGCTGTCAACAAATACAAGTTAAGTGTTCTGCCGAAACCCATTTATCTATCATTTGTGGCCATTAATGTCATTAGATAGGGTGCCCCGGTTAGATCACGAGATCGCCTCATACTAAAGGTAATTAAGCCTAGGTCTTTATGGTTCCTTGTACAGTGTTTTCTCTGATATAGCTGTCATATATTAGGATTCTGGCTTTAGCTAGCGCCCTTTTTACAGGTCAAGACGAGGAAGCATGCTTTGTGTACCAGTTACTGGGTGATGGAAGCTACCTCAAAGAGGATAATTTGGTGTCTACATCCTGGTTATACCTGGTGGACTAAGGCCTGCTTTACAATAAGATAAGGAACCTCTTCAATGTATGTAGTCTAATACTGTAGTTTGATTAGCTGCATATATATAAATTTAATATAAATCCCCCTAATGTGTAGAGGATCGATTTGTGAGATTATTGTAGAAATACAGTCCACTTATCATCATACCAATTGCTATCGAAGTATGTAAATTAACGTAAATATAAATTCTATATAAATTCATATAAACTAAATAAATATAAATCTCACAGGTTGGTTCCCACATTATTTGGTCGTTCGAACCGGATTATTTGGACCTTCAGAACCGGATTATTTGGTCCTTTGAACCCACATTTGGTCATCTTAGTACCGGATGAACCAGTTAACCAGTGGATTCATTAAATATACTAGTGCAGTGTGATTTATACAAAGCCAGCAGTGAAAGACGGCAGCGTAGCCTCGAGGGAGCTCAAGAGCCTCCCTCAGCCCAGTTAAGCCTTAGTCAGCGGTTTCATGCACACCCACAGATTTGGTGGCGTGTTATTCTGTGAAATGACAGCGCTAATATTGAAGCCAGCCAAATTAGTAGCTGGGTCTTCGTGAGATTGTTCACAGATTTCGTGGTGTTAAATTTCGCGAGAGATTATCTACGAATTTTGTGGAGTTTATTTCGCGAGGTCACTAATAATATTTAATACTTCTAGATAATATTAGAAGTTTTATAGAGGCAATTAAGAGGCTATTATCAATAATTGTGTATATTATTTCTCCAAAATAGAGAATTATTTAATATATTGCACTAGTGTTCACAATATAATATTTACTAATTGCCAACCCACAACAGGGTAGGATATTACCATTGACTAGTTGAACTATTTATTGTTCATCCTAGTCCCATTAACATAGTCTAGTTGTACTATATTAAACAATCTAGCACCATTAATTAATGGTGCAGACCCTATTTTGGGTGTAAATTTGATCAACTCGAGTTGAGTTGTATATATAATAATTTACTTATGATCATTACACCTTTGAGTGATTAATTAGTGTCTATACCATCCTAGGGTGATATAGAAGAGCTAACCTAAAGGTACTTCCAATGACACTGGTTTATCACTCAAATCATTAGTGTGTATGATTGTATATATATATAATGTGTATTAATTTTAAGTGCTAACCTCTAG